GGAAAGGATACTCAAATTCCTACCTTGTGTAAATATAGCTGTTGCCTGCATTATATCACTGAGACTTCTCAACACATCTGGAACAAAAAGCAGTTCCAATAACATTAAAGCATCCTATTTTTGTTGGCACACAGATGCTACTGTATATGCCAGTCAGTAATGGGTTTTGGAAACAAGCTGCTCTAAAATTCTTCTAAACTATTCTTCTGGGAAATTATTCAATTAAATACAACTAAAATTAATGCTTGGCTGCTTTGTTTGAATAAAACAAAATAAGCAGCTGGAAAAGAAAATCCCTTTGTGTGTTAAAGAGCAAAGGCTCCAATTAATATCAGTGGATTATGAGATCCTCTTTCTCCCTTCTTTTTAACAACAGCTAATTCTAAATGAAAGGGGCCAGTACTAGTTAGAGAAGAGTGTTGGTTTCATACAGACAAAATTAGACTGGAAGCCCATTTACAATAATAAGATGAAAATAAAGCAATCTGAACTTGGGAAAAGTTTTTTGGATGTGTGATGATCTACTGTGGTCAGTGCCAGCTCAAGGGAATATGGCGCCTCTAGGCCACATTGACTGATGGCACAACCGCCGAAACAAGAATTGCATTTTTAGAATGATTAATTTAACATCTGCTCTGCGGGATGTGACCTTGGCAACTATAGCTTCGTCCACCATCATTTTGGAGCAGAGTTGCCAGCTACAGTCAACTGAAAATTGCTAAGCCTCAATGCAAAAATACCCACAATCCTGTATTAACAATACAAAAAGTTGATGTAATTATTTTTGTTTGTTTGCAGGCTTTGCTTTCAGAAGGAGGGGTGGTGTTGGCATCCGCTAAACTTTGCCACCTTAGGCCAGCGAATACCCAGCCTTAGCCTAAAGCCGGCCCTCTGAGAAAGAGAGAGAGAGAGAAAGCAAGAGAGAGAGAGAGACTTCTGCATTCCTATGTGAAATATACTGCAACAATTACTAAAATAAAAGTGAGATAACAAAACACTTTGCAGCATAGCAACATTACATAGACTTCCAGTTGTGCAACAGAATTTTGAAGATGATCAGCAGCTGTAAAGCTCTCTTAATTACTAGGTTATTTTAGGGCTCGCCTTTTTTGTTTTGTTTTGTTTTGTTTTTTTAGAATTTTTTTATCCTACCTTTCTTACTTTTATAGATAATGTGGGTTTCATACGGACAAAATTAGACTGGAAGCCCATTTATAATAACAAGATGAAAATAAAGCAATCTGAACTTGGGAATAGTTTTTTGGATGTGTGATGATCTACTGTGGTCAGTGCCACACTGCTCCAAAATGGTGGTGGACGAAGCTATAGTTGCCAAGGTCACATCCCGCAGAGCAGATGTTAAATTAATCATTCTAAAAATGCAATTCTTGCTTCAGCGGAAGGTTGTGCCATCAACATACTTAATACTCCTTCCTCTTCCTATTTTCCCCACAACAACAACCCTTTGAAGTGAGTTGGGCTGGGAGAGAGTGACTGGCCCAAAGTCACCCAGCCAGCTTTCATGCCCAAGGCAGGACTAGAATTCACAATCTCCTGCTTTCTAGCCTGGAGCCTTAATCACTAGACCGAACTGGCTCTGCTTCTGCCCTCTGGCTTAGGCATCAAGAAAGGGCTTGCTGAAAGTTATAACCCACAGAACACAAGAGGTGTGTGGACCCAGAAGTAGCCTTTGGGTAGCAGACTCCACAATGTGGAACGCACTGCTCCCATAGAATATACAATACTGATCTTTCGGTCATTTTGCAAAGTGCTTAAACTTTTTTCAGTGGGCTTTTGGTCCAGGATGAAGACTTTGAATAACTATTTTATTTCATTTATGTTTATGTTCTAGTTTTAACTATTGTTAACAACTTTGTATATTGTCCAGTCTTGATCTTAATGATTGGGGCAGTCTATAAAAACTATGAGATGAATAAAATAATATTTCTAGTTAAGCATTTTTAAATATTTGTATACCACTACCTGTTTAAAATCCCTTTCCCTTTCCTCCCCCACTGCCCACTGACAGTACCTTACTTTCACACAAATGCCCCAGCTCCACTTTAAAGGATCCTTCAGCTCTTGAGGGCAGGTATGGAAGGGAAATCTGGTGCTGCCAAATGCCAGAACAATGTTTTTTTTTTTAAGATCATAGCTATAAACATAAAATAGTCTAGAACTAGTTAATCTTGCTCTTAGGAGAGGGGACATCAAACTGTATCCAAATATCTCAGTTCGTCAGTGGGTATATTAATTGTCAGCCATCTCTTACGGTGACAAGTTCAAGTCCACAGGTAGAGAGCCAGTGTAGGAGGCAGCTCACAGTGGGCGTTTGACTGAAACCAGCTTGCCTTCACATTTCTTTTCTCACTACTGCCTTATGCTTTGTAAATGCAGCTTGTCCTTGGCTTACTCCAAAGGCAAGAAGAGCAGGACCCATTCTTCAATACCCTTGCCAAATCCAAATATCTTTTAAACAAATCCAAAAATAGCAAGCACAAAGATGGTCTGGGAGAGGGAGTTGCGTGGCTGAAGCCTCTCTTCTCTTCATGGCTCTCAGGACTCTGTGGGTGGTTTGAAAGAAATCTTTAAAGAGAAGGCACACCTGAGTATTCTGATTCAGAATGGGGTGTAACAAAAAAATCTAAACCAAACAAATCCTCCTGCCTCTCCTAGAGGGGAGGAGAGAAGGAGCACTTCACTTCCTGGAGAATGAAAATGTTGTTTTTCTTATGTTGAACAGCTTTCTGTTCTCCTTGCACCCTTAGCCCATCTGCCCTGAATTTCCCTCTCTCCCAATCCCTCCCCCCCCGCCCCCACTGTGCCAAATTCTTTCCTACTGAATTCATTTATGAAGAAGAGTGATGGAAAGAAAGTATGTTTCTTTTCTTGATTAACATTTTGTAATGTCCCAGTCTCTTGACTGGTGTTTCACATTAGCTGCAGAGTTTGGGCTCATAAAGATTAGGACCTTCCAAACTTACTCAGTTTGGAAAGCTCAGGGGTTTTCAACCCTGAATGAAGAGTTTTCTAGTGAAGCAATGCAAAATAAAAGCTGCACACCAGTCTCTTCCTTTAACTTAACAGCTGCCCATGAATACCATGCCCCTCACTTCAGAATGCTTCATGTTGAGTTTTGTAAATATTCAGCAAGAGAACTGCGGTCCTGAAGCAGAGGAGAGTTTTTGGAAGATGAAACACTTGAGGAGGTGAAGCATGTGGGGGGAAAAATGTGGCTATTATTAGTCTTTATGTGGTACATGTCAGGAATTCAGCACATTTCACATGAAGCTCATTATCCTTAAAATACTCTGAAACATAGGCATTATTCTCCTCCTCCGCTTTCCTCCATTACAGATAGTGGAGCTAGTACATGTGATTGTTATTACCCGTACATTCATAGCAATTTTCCTACTGAGATTGAAATCAATATGTTGGTTGATGCACTCCCCCAAAGTCATAGAAACTTGTGTCAGATGTAAAATAATGACCTGCTTGTACAAGTGCCAATCCATTTCAGAGCTGCTAAGATCAGATATTCTAACACCCTAATTTGGAATTGGAAGCCTGGGGATTTTTCAGTGGCTAAATTATCACTATAGTGTTACCACTCTTGCTGTGTAATTATCATATATGCATTTTCACTTTACAGGGAGGGGGAAAAAAGCAACTGTGTGAGGGGAACAGCAAAGGGGCCCCTCTGAACACTCCTGAGGACATACCTGCCTTGACTTCAGATAGATGGGGGAAATTCTGGGAGTTAGGATGAGTTGGGAGTTTCCGCACAAGTGGCCTTCCCTGCAGCCCTAAAGAAAACATTACAGAACTGTCCTTACAGTGTTTTCTCTGAAGTAACAGCTGAGCCAAAATGGGATCAGTTCAGCTTCTCAAGCTACATGGAAGCGCTGTGGGAGTGGCTGCCTTCACTTGTGGAGAGAGACTCAGTCTTCTCTTACATGAAATGCTTGAGCATTTTCCTTCTGTAAAAAAATTGTGAAGAATTCATCATCATCAACAACATCACCCAAGTTCTTAAAAAGAGGAGTGCAATAATAGATGAGAAACAACATTGAAAAAAGGGTTGAAAGTCAACAAGATAGACAAAAGAAGAAAGCTGAGTTTAAGAGTCCCTCTGATAAATACAATAGAATTATTATGGCAACCTTAAAGACATCAGCTTGAATCTGTCTTGAAAATATGAATGGGAACAGGTAGTTGAGAGGGGGAATCATCCAAATTGCTTACTTTGGACAACCCTTCACTGCCGCATTCTCTTTTCCATACTTTTGAGGGAGGTTCCCACCCCATCCCAAAAGGTTTTTCAAGGAGCACAGACTGCTGATGGAAGCCTTCCATTGGTGGAGGGAATTTAGCTGTATCCCACCTAGAATGTATGGAATGAAAAGGAAAAAAATGGAGCGATATGTTAAAGTAGTCAGAAGACTCTTTAATTTAAATGATAAGTTAAAGGTATTTTTAGTATAGCAAAATTACAAGACTAAGCTAAGTTCTAATCCTTTTTCCTCTATTAATTTTAACTGTATATTCATATGAAATATTATCAACTATAGGATCCTAGAAGAAATACAGTCTGGTTTATTTATAACAGCTGAATCCAGTATGATGTGAGGGGTGGGCATTGAAGAACATTTTATCCCTTCATACCATGTAAATTTATCATGCAGGAAAAGGCAGAAAATAATACCTTTATACTTTCTTCTGCCCAAAGAAACCCAGGTTCAGAGTGATGCCTACCAGAATCCAATGCCAAACTGTGTTTGGTTCCAGTGGTAGCTGTGTTGAATGCTTTAATAATTCATTATGCTAATTATGCATATGGTTCTTTTGATGACTTCAGTATAGCTGATACCACACCTAATATGGTCCTCCATCTACTTAACCTACTTTAGAAGATTGCAGTGCAAGATCAAAATTACAGAATTCTTTGTTTTGATAAAATTGTATTTGTTTAGAAGCAGTAATAGAAAGCTTAGATACTAATATTCAATCATGTTCTTCTAGAAATCATTGATGATCTTGCCAATTTGGTAGAAAATACTGATGACAAACTACGCAAGCAAACCAAACATGTCATGATGGTGGATAAAAAATCAACCTCCTGTGGTAAGATTTTAAATTTCATTTCTCTTGCTTTATACTGGTTGCTGGTTTATGTGCTCTGAAGCCTGGTTTAAAGCCATTTAATTTTTTTCTGACAGCCAATACTATCTCTTTCATATAATCTTGCACTTTCCTCTACAAACAATCTAGCAATTATATCCAGAACATTTGAAAAATGTCTACCCTTGTTGAAAGAGGGAAAGAAGTGTGATGAACCGGGCATAAAAGTATTATCCCAAGTTTAATTAAAGAAAAGAAGTTACTTATCCCCCTGGAGGGCATTCTCTACTTTGAGATAGTGCCCCTTCCTGGAACTAGTAGGCAAGGTCTGATCTTGAATGGGTCTTGCCAGGAGAGGTACCATCATGCCTCACTTTGGCCCTGCATAGAGTTCAGGCAGTTCAATTCATCTGGAATTTCAAAAGCCCAGCTGTTGTTTAGTTTTTAAAAACCAAACACCACTCCATTCTTGTCTTCTCTTCTATACCTCCCTTCCTTTCTCTTATCTTTTTCCCTTTTAGAACAGGGATGGTTTTGAGGGGGAGGCTGCACCACTGTTGGAGACTACTGTGCCACTGTAGCAGCCTGAAAACACAGGAAACCATGACAAGATGTTATCAATCTTTCCTGTTGGTGGGAGAAGCACAGAATAGCTGATGAGCATGGCAGCAGTGCTACACAAGAAGCACCGTGGAGCTTTCTGGTTGAATCCGAATACCCAACTTCTGTCGAAAACCCAGTCAGGCCAGAAAGAGGACACAGTGCTGAAATGCCACATTCTAGTACAATTCCCTCTCCGTCCATATAGGGCAGTTAGGGGACTATAGAGTAATGTGTCATGACAGTGGAAGAGGGGATAAACAGTGACAAGAAGGAACTCCAGAGCAGCACACTAAGAAGGCATCAAGCCCAAAAAGGTGCTAAACAGAGCCGAAAATAAGCAAAGACATGCCTCCTCTAAGCCTCAGTTTTGAAGAAACTCAGTTTAGGAAGTGGATTATTAGTTTAGCAGATTTCTGGAAATGTGTCTGTTTTTTCAAGCAGACAAAACAAAGTGGATATAAGTATCTCTTCCTCTGCAAAAAAACAGAGGAAACAAAAATGAGCAGTCTGTTATAGGGGGACAGATTTTCCACAAGACTAAGAAAAGGGGTAAGAGGGCTTACATTTTCTCCACTGAATCTGTATATTTAAGACCTTCTTCCTCTTTTCTTCCCAGTCCCCTAGGGGGCTTGAAATTCCCTACCTCAGAGTCCTTTTAGAAACAAGGCCAAGAGATAAAGGCCACAAAACTTCTAAAGGGAAACTACAGAATAGGAGGAGACAGAATAATTTCTTTATGAGATGTCTCCCTGCATCAGTCCTTAGATGGACTCTAGGCAGTTTAGAGATAGTAGTAGAATAATAACAAATAATACAAAATTATTTAAAATACAAAAAGTACTTTAGAATATTATGCTTATTGCCTCTGGTGACACCAGAATCAATCCCCAAAATATCTTCCAGAAGAATAAGGTTTTTACCAGCTTCCAGAAGGCCATGAGAATGAGGACCTGTTTGTCTGTTTTATAGGAGGGGAGCCCACTCCCTCCACTTGAGTCTCATCACAGGTCATAACCAATGAGTATAACCAATATAGTTTCCATCCCAGGCCCATGCCTGAAACCAGAGTATAGTAGGTCCAAATAATATGCCTTCTCATCCACAATTACATCACAGGCAAGGTTAGATTTATTACCGGCAGACCTGCATTCAAAAACATCAACTGGAAACCAAGATGACCATCAGTCTGAATAATTGGCTCATGAGTTGAGACTGGGAAGCCTAAAGCAGACTTTGGCAGCAAATTCCAGAGTCCACTGAAGTTGGGCAGCCAATAGATTTCAGTTAGTCAGTCAATCAATCAGTCAATCAATCAATCAAATTTCCAATCTTTCTTTCTCTGGAAACTTTGGCCCTCCCTTCCCCCCATGTCTCACCCAGTCTCTTGCTGTCATTATCCTCTCCTCCATTTCCACCATTCTCAATTATTTGACTGTCCTCTCCCAGTGAACGAAGGCCCAACCATCTCCCTAACTGAGGTCAACTATAATACAATACAGCACAGTAATCTCATCTAATAGTTATATTCACAACCCCACCAGACATTCTAACCCAACTTCTGATAATAGGGCCACTACCCTCACCACCTTCCCACCCACCCAGCCCCCCGGCTCTACCCAACTGGGTCAGAGGGGCCAGATGGAGCACCCTTTTCCTATTCTCTTGCTCATAGCAGAGGCCCTCCTTTTCATTTCTCTGACTCTGACTCTGGGAACAGACAATCCTCTTCTTCTTTTCCTGTGATTACTTTATGTTTCTACTCTCTCATCCACAATTATTCATGTTCATGTAGTCCCAAACCAAGGGGAACAGGGCTGGTACCTACTTTTCATCTCCTGCCACTGGTTTTATACATAGCATAATAGTCTGTTTAATGTGAAATAAACATGGAGAACCATATGCTGCCATTTAACCCCTGAAAATACATGGGAATTAATATACTATATGCACTCCAGGAGAGTGGGGAGGATAGATGGATGGATGGATGGAT